AAGCCTCCTTGCGATTCGTTGAAGGAACGGAGCGCGTTCCTCCAAGGATAATCGTAAAGCAAGGCTTGCGTTGGCATCCACCTGGCGTTCGGCACTTCCCATGGCCCCTTCGTTGTCGCCAACCAACGCGCGCGTCGGCGTCACCAAGTAAGGCGGGAGGTCGCAGGAAAATCTCCCGCGAACAGTAAGCCACAGAAAGAATCTTCAGTCAGTCGTTCTTGAAGCTTCTAAATCCCGCGTCGGTCGCAAAAAAATCTCCGGACAGCTCACGCGCCCGGCGCAGCAGGAGCGGCAGCTGCAACCCCCGCAGCTTGCGCAATCCCCGCCCGCTCGTGCTGCAGCTGCTGAACGTTCACTACCTTCCGCACCACTCTCCCGCCATAAAGATGCACCAAGATCCACGGGTGCGACAGCACCTTCGCCGCACTCGGCCGTCTCCGCGGATCGCGCTGCAGCATGCACCAAATGAGGCTCCGCGCTTCCGCCGACACTCCCGCCCAAGCAGGACCGGACATGTCCACTCTCCCGGCGAGCACCGACGCGAAAACCGCGTTATCGTCAGGACCCCAGAATGGAGTGTTCCCGCTGAGCAGAACGTATAAGATGACTCCTAGAGACCACACGTCGGCTTCTACGCCGTACTCCCCGGTCAGGACCTCAGGCGCCATGTAAAACGGCGAACCGGCGGCGCCGGTAGCCTTTGCGCCCTCCTCGAGGCCGATAGCCAGGCCGAAATCCGCGAGCTTAGCGAACGTCGCTTCCCTTCCGTTAACGAGCTGCTTCTTGAGGAGGATGTTCTCGGGTTTAAGGTCGCGGTGCATTACGCCGCGGGCGTGGCAAAATGCGACGGCGGAGACGATTTGGCGGAACAGCAGCGCAGCTTCCTTCTCAGGGATCCTTCCCCGTCGAATCACCTCGTCAAAAAGCTCCCCGCCTTCGCAATATTCCATGACTATGTGCACCTCCTTATCATCCTCGAAGACCGCGCGGAGATTAACCACGCCTGGGTGACCCATCACGCGCTGCATTGCCCCAACCTCCCGGCGAACCTCCTCGCGGTCCGACTCGGACACGAGGCGGCTCTTCTGAATCGTCTTGCAGGCGAAGGTTTCGCCCGTGGCGCTGTCAATGCAGCGGCGAACCACCCCGAATTCCCCTGATCCCAGCAGATCAGCGTCAACTGTGAAATAATCCTTAATCGAGCCGGTGGGGAAGTCGAAAACGGGGATGGAGGTCGCGGTGGCCATGGTGGAGTCGAGGAGAGAGCTCTTGTGCAGTTTCTGAGGGTTCGAGTCGGATGCAGAAGACAGCTCCTGCTCGACGACGTCTAGTTTTCTTTTTCGGCTCATGTTGAGAGACTGCGATAGGTGAAGCGGCTGGGCCATATTTAAATGCAAGTACGATGAACGCTGAATTTGAAGTAAGTGATCAATGCCTTGAAGAAATTGTTGGAGAATGATCGTCACGTCAGGTGGATAGAGGTTTTAGAAACTCTGAATTCGGACTTAGATGATGAAGTCACCAGCACGCATTTATGCGTGGAGGTGAAAGCGATGGTGGTGGCGACGTTGCGTGTGAGGGTGGCGTGCCGTGCTGGTCTTCGTGACTCGTCGTCTCCCTCACTCCGCCCCCTGGCGTCCCTTTGGGAGACTGGGCTTCAGGGGGCAGCGGGGCACAGGGGCACTGGGGAGAGGGGGAAGAGGGGGGGTGAGAGGGGGGATGGGGGAACGGGAAAGAAAGGGGCAAGCGAGAGATGCGTCAGCGAGGCAGGGGGGTGGGAATCCGGAACGTTCCAGTCTCCAGGGGGGAACGTTCCACTGGGGAGGGGAGGTGGTTTCGAGCCGCCATGTGGATGCCGTGTGGGGCGGTGCAGTGAATGTTGCCGGGCAGCTGGGGAAATGGTCTCACCACCACAGTGGATTCTTGGCGTGCTTTGTGGCCTAGGGGTTGGGGTGTGGGTGGAAGGGGATTGGGTGAGGAAGGGTGGTGGTGGAGGGGAGACAGGAAGGTGCTCTGGCGGACTGTTCAGTTCGTCCTGCATCTCTCCTCCCCTCCCAAGCTTTTACCGTAAGTGTGCTTGACAACTGTGAGTGTCGGTACGGAAAACGTCACCTGGCCCCGAAAATGAACTCGGGCACGCAGCGACTGGTTATTGGCTGGTGATGCTTTGCCAGCTGGTGGTGCTAGCTGGCGCAGCTGGGGGAAGCTTTACGGAGATGACGGGCAGGTGTGTGCGAGGTACTTTCTAGGAATTTTGTCCTCCTCGAGAACCCTCCGCCAAAAACGGCGTGGAAGGGTCGCGAGACGGGTCGCATGTTGCCTCATGAACATGGCTATGCCATGTGGTGGGTCAGTTACGTCGCAGGACGAATCGCAGGAGGGATTTCGGGTTTTGCGAGCTGTCTGGAAGGTTGGTGAGACTTCCACACCATTTCCAGTGATTTCTGGTTGGGTTCACCATTGCCAGCTATTGGTGCAAGCACACACGCATGCGTCACAGCGGCTCGCTGTTTGGTCCCGGGATTTCATCGCACAATCCGGTAACCCAATCCTTCAAGCGACGTCGACGTGTCACCGTCGTCAATCCTTTTACGAAAGCGACGTCACCACCAACTCCACATTTCAAAGCCTTTCCGCGGAAGTCTTGTCACTTGACCCTCAGTCTTGATGTCACCTTTTTTGCGTCATCAGCTTGCCATCTCTTGTTGAACAAAAAACACCCAAATGTCCTCAAGCGAACCCCTCAAAACGTTTTAATTATGCCCTGACATCTTATTCTCCAATCGTCGAGCTCCATTATCTGCCCTGTGAAAATATAATAGCCCACTGATACGGGCAACATTGCCAAATAGGAAAAATCGTATCATCCCAACGCTGTAAGTGGAGATCTGGCAAGAATGCATCCTCGCAGGAATGGTTTATGTCTGAAGTTCTTGCCAGGGGGGTGTAGAAGAGCCTCTACACCCTCTTTCTTGATAGACTGAAAAATGTTAGACTGACCGGGACGCCTGGTATAGCCGCAACGGACACCTATCACATGCGTTAAGTGACAATTTGACCCAAGGCGGTCAGTCAGTGTTTCAAACTTTAAAAAATGGCACTGTCGTTTTCGAAACGGTTGGGACGGCTATTCAACGTTAACGGTTTTTTACTCCCCAAGGCTTGTTTCGTCACCTCGTCGGAGGAGCGGAACATGCTTGGGAAAATCAGGGAGGATGGCAAGGACCTAAGGTGGAAGAGTGGCTTTGCAGCATTATGGTCGGCACGGAGGGCCAAGAACACTCGGCCCTAGAATCTTATCTGGAGCAAGGGGTCCCCCATAGTTCCTCACGCACGGTTACGACCGTTCTTGTCAGTATATGCTTGTACACTCGGTATATACTTTCAATTATCAAAACAAAAAAAACCTCGTACGACTTGGCCCGCAACCGAGTTATCGCACCAGTCCGCTACGTCCAAAATTGTAGCTATTGTGCGCGATGTTGAGAAGGCTGAGAACAAGGTGTACTCTATTCCACCACAAACGCTGCACTTTTCTGCACTCATCAAACTGATGTCACTGATGATGCACCTGCAACGCATGTTGCGGGCGGACAAAGAATGTTGCCGAGACAGCCCTGTCAAAATCCAGATTCTCTTTACAGCTCATCAAACCAGCCACACACGTATCTTGCGCATACTTTAGCAGGCAACCACCAATCACACAAGCTTTAATGCCGCACCTTCGCCTGGATTCACGCACCTTGAAGTTCCCCCAGCTCATCACATCACTTGACTTGAACTTGTCGGCTGCCAAGAAGCAGATAAGGGGAGAACCGAAAGACGAGCAGGAAATAACAAATCGGAGCACGTTGTTCCATTCCGTCTTGCCCCGCCCCTCCAACCGACATCCTGCGTGTCAGACTTTCACTGACACTCGCATCGCGTCGCGTAACCCACCCACCGCCCCGTCCGCGTTCGTTTGTTTGAGGCGGGCGGGTTCTTCCCTCGCCTCCTCCGTCCGCTATTGTCACACGGTGTATCCCCGCCTCACAACTGACAGCACCGTCAGTCCATCCCATTCCCTCCAGTCCCGTTCGGTTTGGTGATTGACAGGATCTATTGTTGACCCTCTTTCACCGCTCGTCTAGATATTTTGGACCGTTCCACGTCGATGGACTGCAAGGTCCTCTCCATGCATCATTCTTTGGACAAGGTCCTTCTGACAATCTACTGTACATTTCCGTCCGACCTGGTCGTTCCGTTCCGTTCCATCCGCTACCACCCCACCCTGGATTCCACCTTCCCCAACCCATAAGTGTAGAATTCACTCATGGCTGCTGCTGACCACTGAACCGAAGACACCCATCCATCTAAGCTAAGGCACCCAGCACACACCTTGTAGCGGGTCTTACACTGACGGTAAATGCACTGAGGGCGTGGTCAAGCTGTACGACTCTTTGGACGTTCTCTACGTTCTCTATGCTAAATGGCCTACACCCTGAAACGCTAGCGATGCAATACTAGCGGGAGCACCCATGGACCCCATTAGCACAACCTATGCCCAGCAAGGAACATGTTCTCCAGTGTAAGGAATTTTCTCGGCATTCCTTACGACTACATCGCGTACAGCAACAGCCGTTGTTCGCCCGTTACTGCTAACGGGGCTTCGCCGACTTCGCGTGCACTGTTTCACCAAACCTCGAACTGCTGGCCTGGCCGTGTCGGCCTACGCTTCGGGACTAGCCCGAGCCTCGCTCCAGCGTAGCACTAGCTAGCTCGCACGCACCGCGTTACCGTTTGCATGTTTCGCATATAAATGTTCGCTCATGCCTTCGCTCACATTTTGTACTCGTTTGACACCTTAGTGCAATTCTCCCTACTTCGATTCATTGCACCCCTAACATCCGGCTTCAAGCAACCGCGCTGAAGAATCATTTTGAAAAAAACATGGGAAAAAACATATGAAAATTTGGAACATTCAGAAGCAGATAGCGTCCCAACCAACATATACTCATGTTTTATGCTATTGAAACAGGAGCAGGAGCATCATCCGGCAATCCCAAGGGCGCATTCTCACAGCACGAGTTATCAACCCGGTACAGCTCCCACTCCTTGATCCCGCACCGATCCAGTGCAGCCTTGAGCCGAACCGCATGCTCAGGTCCGGGCCACTCACCATCCTTGGACACAAGCACAGCCCCGGTGTACGACTGCCCTGCCGCCCGTGCGGCGCCACTGTAGTAAAAGAGCGCCCACTGGAAATCGTCTGTTACGTCCACGATTCGCCAGGATTCCTCCGAGATCACCCCGTTGTCGAGCACTGTGAAGGTGAAGGTTCCGGGAACCTTCCCGCGTCGCACGCGGTAGTGGCGGCGGCGCCATAGCGACCGTCCATCAAGAGTGTTGATCTGGGTGGGTGAGATGGGGAGAGGAGTGTGGGGAGGGGAATGGAGAGACTATGTGAGGGGAATGGAGGGTACTCATGTGTGCTGCACGCGGTCCATGTGGGATTGATGGTCCATGAGGGATTGGTGGCGGCGCCATAGTGACCGTCCATCAAGCATGCGGATCTGCATGGATGAGAGGAGTGTGGGGAGGGGAGAGTATGGGAGAAGGGTACTCTCGTGTACCGCATTGCGACCATCCATCCAGAGTGTTGATTTGCATGGGTGAGGCAAGGAAGGGAGGCGAGGGAGTATGGGAGAAGGGTACTCGTGTGCGGTACATGTGGTGATGGTGATGGCACCATAGCGACCGTCCATCAAGAGTGTTGATCTGCATGGACGAGGGGCGAGGAGAGGAGTGAGGGGAGGAAAGGAGGTGATGGGAGTACAGGAGAAGGGTACTCGTGTGTGGTGCACGTGGTGGTAGTAACGCAGGCGCCATAGTGGCCGGGCCGTCCATTAGGGCTGCATCTCTGCATGGGTGGGGTGAGGAGTGGAGAGGTAAGGGAAGGGCAGAGTATGGGAGAAGTGTGCATGTGTTTGTAGTGCATGCCGTTGTGGCGCCACACACCATAGGGATTGACCACTGAGGGCGCGAATCTGTAAGGATATCTCGCCTCATATCCTGCTCGCCTCGAAATTTTTCTCACCTCATATCTCGCATTGGATGGATGTTCGTGTGTTTGTGTGGGAAGAATGATAGGGAACAGGTGCAGTGGGCGTGAGGAGGAATGAGTGTGGAGAGGGATGGCCAAAGGGTGCAATGGCAGGAGGGGAAGAATAGAGTGGAGATGGGTGCGAAGGTGGGGCTGAGGAGGAACGTGGGGGTGGGGGTGGGCATGGATGGGGGGTTGGAGGAATGGTATGGAGAAACAGACTGGAAGCGGGGTTCGGCTAAGGATGAGAAACAGACTGGAAGCGGGGTTTGGCTAAGGATGAGAAACAGACTGGAAGCGGGGTTCGGCTAAGGATGAGAAACAGACTGGAAGCGGGGTTCGGCTAAGGATGAGAAACCGTACCGTGAAAACAGGGTCGTACCACACCGAGCCTCGCGCCTTGCCTCGGTAAAATATCTGAAACTGGCACGGGAACTGGTCGTAAGCGGCATTCTGCCCGGCCACGACCCGCCAGCTCCAGGGCAGCTGTCCGAGCCACCCGACGAAAATATCTTCTGCCCGCTCGTGCGTGACGGGCTGCCCGCGAAGGTGTGTGAGGGGGAGCACGGTGGGGCGGTCGCGGATTTCAGCTGTCATACCAAGGCAGTTGTGCTTCTGCAGGACGCAGAGGGAGAAGGCTTCAAACTTGGGGGTCTCGTAAGAGACAATGCAGCGATAGCTGCACACCTGGTGGTGGTGAAAGGAGGGGAAAAAAGAGATGCCCACAGGGACGGGAAGGGGGAGACAAAGGTGGGGACATTAACTAAAGGTGAGGGAAAAAGCGGCATAAAGTTTCGGCTGTCATGCCGAGACGACTGTGATTCAGTAGCACGCAGAGGGAGAAGGCTTCGAACTTGGGGGGTCTTGTAGGAGGCAATGCAGCGATAGCTGCACTGCACACCTGGTGGTGGTGGCTGCAAGGGGGATCAAGCACGGGAGAAGGGAAGGTGAGTTGGGAAGGGGGATAAAGCACGGGAGAAGGGAAGGTGAGTAAGGTATCGGCTGTCATGCCAAGGCAGTTGTGCTTCAGCAGCCCGCAGAGCTGGGGGTTCCATAGGACACGACGCAGTGACAGCTACATGCCTGGTGGGGACTGGCACAGGGAGAATCGAGCAAGGGAGAGGAGATAAGTGAGGTAAAAATCCGGCTCTACCGCAGCAGCAGCTGTGCTTCTGCTGCAGATCGCAGAGTTGGGGGTTCCGTAGGACACGACGCAACGATGCTGGATTCATTTTTTAAGAAATCTGACCAATCATAGCTACGCACCTGGTCTGTGGGTGGGTGGGCCTGCATTCATTCAGGCAGTCGATGGCTGTGCGGCACTGCTCGTCCAGGCAAGGCAACGTTCCGGAATGCTGGGCCCGCAGTTGCCGACCATGCACCGCAGAGCGGACAAAGTAAGGTGCTTCTGGCATACACACCTGGTCCGTGGTCCGCACTCTTTGAGGCAGTTGATGGCTGTGCGGCACTGCTCGTCCAGGAAACACTCGAGAATCCCAAGGGGTGGGGGACAGGATGGGGAAGGTTGCTCACCTGGTCTGTGGGACCGCATTCATTGAGGCAGTCGATGGCCGTGCGGCACTGCTCGTCCAGGAAACACTCGAGAGAATCACGGGTCCACAGTTGCCGACCATGCACTGCATTGCATGGCGGACAAGTCTGCCGCTCGCAGCCTTCCATGCAATGCAACATCAGAGTGCTCACCTGGTCCGTGGGTCCGCATTCATTGAGGCAGTTGATAGCAGTCCGGCACTGCTCATGCAGCAAGCACTCGAAAATCCCAAGGGGTGGGGGACAGGAGGGGGAAGGTTGCGCACCTGGTCCGTGGGACCGCACTCATTGAGGCAGTTGATAGCCGTGCGGCACTGCTCGTCCAGGAAACACTCGATGATGATGGGCCCGCAGTTGCCGACCATGCACTGCAGAGAGGACGAGTCTGCCGCCCGCAGGTTGCGCAGAGCGGGCACGTCGACAATGTAGGCGTTGACGAGAGCGAGGATGACAAACCAAATGTCGTCTGCACTGCGACGCTCCCAGCAGGATTCTACCAGGGTGTACGTCTTGGGTATGGAACGTGGAGGGGAGGGGAAGGGTGGGATGGGGACGGGGGTGGTTGAGGGGATGAGAGAGCAGGAGGGGTGGCAGGTTGCGCAGAGCAGGCATGTCGACAATGTACGCGTCGACAATGTACGCGTCGACAATGTACGCGTCGACAATGTACGCGTCGACGAGAGCGAGGATGACAAACCAAATGTCATCAGCACTGCAGCGCTCCCAGCAGGACTCCACCAGGGTGTACGTCTGGTGGGGGGAGGACACGGGGAAAAGAAGGAAGTGGGAGGGGGAACGGGGTACAGGGGGAAGGGGGTGGTTGGTTGGATTGGTTTTGGATTGGAGATGAGGGAGCAGGAGGGGTGGGAGCGGTAGGTTGCGCACTGTAGGCACATGGACGATATAGGCGTTGGAGAGAGCCAGCAGCACCACGAATCCTGAGTGTCTCTATAATGAATGGTGTGTGTAGGCCCTCAAACAGCGCTGGTGAGTTGCTGAGTGAACATTGTTGTAGGTTGGGCAGGTTGGGAAATGATTGTGGAATTTCGGTTACCTCTGGCACACCATGCATACAACTTGATGAGGATTTCAAGACTAGAGACGCGCTCACCTGAACGGCCTTCGCGCCCTCCTTCCACCATCCCCATTTTGCTGCGAGCTTTTGGGGCAGGTTCAGCTTTTCCGGGTTCAGCCCGCCCAGCGAGGTGAGCTCAGAGAGCGACACGTGGCAGTCAAAGGCCATCCGGGCAGGGGCGGCTGAAAAGATAGGGACGAGCTGGGCGGCGGACTCGGCACTGTTCACGGCGACAGCCAATAGGAGATCGGCTTGCTGGGCGGCAGAGAGGAAGAGGGAGTGGGAGGAGGAGGAGGGGGAGAGGGACGAGGAGGAGAAGACGAGAAGCTGCACGGAAGGTTCCACCCAGTTGACTCTGCGAGCCTGGGGAAACGAGAGAATGGAAGAGGTTGGGTGGCGGGGTGTTGGGAGTTGAATGAAGGAAGGAAGCGACGAAAGCGGGGGATGGCGAAATCGAGATTTATAAAGATATTTTGAAAGAAGAGGAGAGGAGGATCGGTCTTTAGAGTAGACTAAGGATACGGTACAATGCAGGAATGTTGAGGGAGAGGTGTATGCTGAGCTGAGGGAATGTGGAGCGTAATGATGAGATTATGCCATGGGTGAATCATCAGAGGACGGAAGAACGCCTGGTGATGGTGGTGGAAGGATGGCTATACGTTCCAGATAAAGCCCATGAAGGATTCGGAATTTCTTTTGTTTTTTTCCTCTTTTCCATGTGTAAAAGCTCCTTATGTTCCGTCCACTCCCATACGTGTGTAGCAAAAACAGTTACAAATACAGATATAATTTCCTCCATCACTCGCTCGTTACCAGAATGTGAGATGCGGGATATTACTGTTGGTTTTAATTTTAGTCGTGACCAAACGGGATATTACTACTGGAGGGTCACACAAGACACCCTTGACTCACCATTTGTCGTATCACTTCGTCCCACGTGGCACCGCCGTACGGGCTCACCACGTCAGCACCCACCACCGCCACAACCCGGGCTCCCGTGTCCGAAGAAAACTGCGTTTCGTAACCAGTCATGCCGCCTAGCACCTCTGCGACGTCGCTAGGAGCTTGTGCGACGTCGCCGGAGCCATCTGAACCTTGGGCGACAGCTCGAAGAAGTGACGGAGCGCGAACCGAACCAGAGCTGCTATCCGTGCAACGGCGCGACCGGGTGACGTGGCACGGCTGACGTGTCGCATTGTGCCGTTGATTGAAAGACTGGCGAGGTGCTACCAGAGAAGGGTGTAATGTCGGGAGAAAGCAGGAGTTCAAGGAAGGGTGCGGAGCGAGGGGATGAAGCTGACGTGATAAGGCCGTTCCGGCTGTTCCCGAAATAAAAGAAGCAGCGAGGTTGAGGCTCGTACACATTGCGCCTAGTCTTGCGAGGTTCACGTAGGACGGACTTCTGAGTCTTACCGAAATGAGAGAACGAGTAACGAAATATCACCGTTATTTCATGCGAAAACTTGGGGTTCGGCTGACATAGATTGCTGAAGCCAAATCCAACATGAAATTGTGTAAAATGGATGGGAAATTCGGGAAATGCCTGAGGGAAAGGAGAAGGCGTTGTGGGGCAAGTACCAGAAGCATTGAGAGTGAGAGCCAATCAAGGTGAGGGCTGTCTGCTTGAACCGCATTTACCATCTGTACCGTTTTGTCCTTCCACTGTAACACACACAGGCGGACTGTGCCGTTTGATATGCGTGGATTAGGAGGCGGATTTTTCAAGGCGTCGCGGTCTTTTGTGCTTCTGCTCTGCACACTTGTGCCTGATTGGCTGGAGCTGGTTATGCTGGACAGATCCTGTCGCGTCAGCAAGTAAAATATCACGCCACCACGACTTGGAAAAGAGCTCCAGCTGACGCGGCCCATGGTGCTTTTCACGTGGCAGTGTCCGAAAGGCTGGATTCAAATCTCCGTGTCATTGAAGGATTGAAATGAAAAGGTACAGTAATGGCATTGGAACTTATTTCAGATGCATACCATACACCCAGATCTTGAGCTTTCACGAACTGCCAAAAATTAGTCCTGCACTAGTGTTCACTCATTTCAGAGGCTTTGCAAAAGCTTGTCTACCTACTCACTATTCCACGTTCATTCAAAAATATAATTACTCTTGAACCATCGGCTATTACAAGGTAAGCTGATCTGGGTCCTCCACAATCTTAGCGAAAGTTTGGAGGAACTCCGCCAAATCAGCGCCATAAATGATCCGATGGTCAGCCGTGACATTCACCTGTGCAATGCAGAGGGAGGTACCGTACTAGCTTAGTGGAGAGAGTGTAATGGATGCACTTGTCACACTAGAAAAAGCAATCAGAGAACATCAGTCAACTTCACGTTTAATGTGCACCTTACCCAACCAACCCTAACTACCAATTGACTGACCTGCATCTGCCTCTTGATGCCGAAGCTGCCATCCTCTGCTGCCACCATTGTTGGGATGGATGATCCAACGGCCATGATCGCACCCTGCCAAAGATATTGATTTCAATACATGTGCAATACACTCTTTAAGATGATGAGAATTTGACAAAGTGAGCAGGAAAGGATCTGATGAGAACCTTTCCAGTTGGTTCAACTATCACTGCATCACACCTAAACCCTCCCTCATTCCCCCTTCTCTCATTCCCACATGCCTCACTCTCACACACTTTCACATCCCCCCACACAGGGCCCACACAGTCCACACGGTCAGCACTGTCTCACCTGGCCGATGGGCAGGATGGCGTCAAACCAATCCACGCCAAACATTCTGACTAAAGAACCCCCCACTCTCTCTCACATTCCCCCGCACATGGCCCACACAGTCCACGCGGTCAGCACTGCCTCACCTGGCCGATGGGCAGGATGGCGTCAAACCGATCCACGCCGAACATGCCCAGGTTGGACAGTGTGAAGGTTCCTGGAAGGAGAGACAAGCAGGAAGGAGAGACAAGCAGGAAGGAGAGGCAGCGAAGGAGAGAAGCACGCCGATGATTGGATAACAAGGAAGCTATAACAAGGCACACCATAAGCCAAAAAATTACAATCCGTAGCCTATACCACAACTGGTACACCCCCTTTTTAACAACCACTTCCAATTGCCTCAACATCAATTCACTCCCCAACCCTCCACTTCATGCCTCTCACTTAGGCCTTCCCCCCTCCTGCCCTTCCCCCTCTTTCCATTCCCCTTCCATCCAGTTCTCCTCTTTCCCTTCCCACCCCTTCCCATTGCCCTCCTTCCTCCCGTCTCCCTTCTCACTGCCTAACTTTGCCCTACTGCTGTTAATTTCTCCACACCTCCCCACCCCACCCCTATTCATGTCCGCCTCTCTCACCTCCGCTGTAGTCGCCTGGGCTCAGGGCCTTCCTCCGTGCCTTGCCCACCAGCTCCTTCCACTGCCCTGACATTGTGAACAGGTCCGTCTGGGATGATGAAGAGGTGTAAGGGGGAGAAGAGAGGGGTGGAGAGAGGTGGAGTGCGGTAAGGGTGCTGTGTAGAAAACTGTGTGTTGAAGTACCTTGCCCACCAGCTCTTTCCACTGCCCTGACATCGTGAACAGATCCGTCTGGGATGATGAAAGGGGGTAAACGGGAGAAAAGAGGGGTGGAGTGTGGTGGGGCGGGCTAAGTGTGTGAGGAACTGTGTGTCACCATGGATTACTTACTAGCTCCTTCCACTGCCCTGACATCGTGTGCACGGGCTACGGGGAAGAAATAGCAGTGGAATGAGGTGGGGTGGGATGGGGTAGTGCGTGACGAAATGCGTTTTTCTGTGCTTTGTCCACCAGCTCCTTCCACTGCCATCGTGTACAGGTCCTTGTGGAACCACCATGGGAGGGTGGGGGGAGGGGGAAGGCGGAGTGGAGTGGGGTGTGGGTGTGTTCGTATACCCAAAAATAGGTGTACAGGAGGATACACCCACAGGAGCATGTAGGAGGCACGAATGATAGTGCGCTCTTGGAGGGGCAGGATGAGGGACAAAATTTGGGAACTGAGATTGAGCAACGTGGAAAGTTGTGGACCAGGGAAGAGAAACAACGTGAGATGAGAAAGGGTGGTTACATGAAGACCCTTTCTCACCCCGTCTCATCATTCCTTCCTACCTCGTCTGCGTTCTTGAGCACGGGCGTGATGAGCCCGCCATCCATGGCCACAGCCACCGCCACGTTCACACTCTCGTTGTAGTGGAAGCTCTTCCCGTCCTTGCACGCGGCGTTCACGATGGGGTGCCTCGCCAGCGCCATGCCCACTGCCTTGGCGAGCAGCGCCGTCATGGTCACTCCCTTGCCCTTCACCTGTGCACCAGTGAGGGCAGTGAAGGGGAGCAGAGGGATAGGGGGAAGATAGCAGTAAAGGGAGGAGAGAAGAGAGGACAATGAGAGGGAGGGGATAGAGAGCAGTGAGAGGGGAGGAGAGAGAGAGCAGGATGGGTGCGGTAAAGACAGTGGCAGGAGCAGGAGCAGGAGCTCCAAACACAACCCACCGCCACACCATCACAAGCGCGGACAGACCCACCCGCTTGTAGAGAGCATCCAGGGCGTCGGTGGTAACGGTGTAACCGACGCGGAAGGTGGGCACAACGAGCGTGGCCTCCATGTTCCTCGCCACCGCCCCCTGCATCGCCATGAACGCCACCACTGACGCCCCCGCTGGCAGTGGCGCTGCCGCCGCTGCTGCTGCTGGCGCTGGTGCTGGTTAAGCAGCAACACCAGCAGCAGGAGCAGCAGGAGCAGGAGCTCCAAACGCTAGCCACTGCCACACCACATTATCACAAAGAAAGGACTCACCCGCTTGTACAGTGCGTCAAGGGCGTCGGTGGTAACGGTGTAACCAACACGGAAGGTGGGCACAACGAGCGTGGCCTCCATGTTCCTCGCCACCGCCCCCTGCATCGCCGTGAACGCCACCACTGACGCCCCCGCTGGCAGCGGCGCTGCTGCTGCTGCAGGCGCAGCAGCAGCACGAGCGGCAGGAGCAGCAGCGGCGGCAGCGGGAGCAGGAGCGATGATGGTGGGAGCAGGGGCGGTCGCGATGCCTGCTGCTTTCTTGATGTCGTCAGGGGTGATCCGGCCGTAGGGACCGGAGCCTGCTACCTTGGCCAGGTCAACCTGATGGAAGGGAGGGGCGGAAGGCGACGGAGGAGAGGGAGTGAAAGAGGGGGATAGGAAGAGCCTGGCTGCATGCAAAGGACAGAGGAGGCTGACGGGAACGGATGAAGAAGTGAGGAAAAAGAGGGACAGGGGGTGGTGGGTGAAGGAGGTGATGTATGTCTGACTGGTGACCGTTGCAACTGTGTTGGTGTGATCCTTGTGTGTGCATTGTACCATACCTTGTACTCGCATCGAATCATACCTTCCATTGCACCGTACCTTGTGCTTCTTCGCCAGCTTCTTTGCCTCGGGCGTTGCAACCACCTTCCCTGGGGTAGCAGGCGCGGCAGGTGCAGGGGGCGGGGGAGGGGGGGCGGCAGCAGCAGGCGCAGGAGCAGCAGCCGCAGCTGGTGCAGCAGGAGCAGCAGCAGCACCACCATCAGAACCGCCGCCGAGCTTGGCGGCCTTCTTCTTGGCGGCCTCCATGTCGTCCTCGCTCTCTGCCAGGATGGCGATGGCTGCACCCACAGGTGCCACCTGCAGCGATTAAAAGCGATTGAAAAAGGTTTGAAAAGGTTGGAAGCAGTTGAAAATGGTGGAGATTTTAGGACTTGAGGCGCCAGAAGACATGAGCTTGGCAGCCTTCTTCTTGGCGGCCTCCATGTCGTCCTCGCTCTCTGCCAGGATGGCGATGGCTGCACCCACGGGCGCCACCTGCAGCAAGTGAACAGGGTTTTCGGTTGAAAGGGGCAGAGTTTTGGGGCCGAAGTTGCGGCCTTTGCGGATGTCATATCGTCCTCGCTCTCTGCCAAGATGGCAATAGACTGCCTCGTTTTCGCTCTCTATGCCGTCGTAAAACGCCTTTCTACATCAATATCCGCCTTGCCCCCCCCCCCCCCCCTACCTTCCACGCCTTCTGCTTACACTACCCTCAGCGATACCTTTCTAACAAAAAAGCGCTTACTCCTCCCTCGCACCATTCGCTCTCACCGCGACATACCTCGCCCTCCCCCACGAGGATGGTGGCGATGATGCCGTCGTAGAACGTCTCCACGCCCATGCCCGCCTTGTCCCTCCCTGCCCACCGCTCCCTCTTGCTGCAGCTTAATAATCCCACGCACCATCATCCTTCATTCCTCACCTCGCCCTCGCCGACAAGGATGGTGGCGATGATGCCGTCGTAGAACGTCTCCACGTCCATGTCCGCCTTGTCCGACTCCACCACCACCACCGACTCGCCCTTGCTCACCGTCTCGCCCTCGCTGTGACGGAGGGAGAAATAGGAGAAAGAGATAGCAGGAGAACGGGAAATGGAGAGGGATGGGAAAAAAGGGGGGAAGGGGAAAGAGGTCTATTCGCCTTGTCAGACTCTACCACCACCACCGACTCGCCCTTGCTCACCGTCTCGCCCGCGCTGCAATGGTGGGAAGGCAAATGGTGGGGAAAAGAGACAGCAGGTGTGGGGGAGGTGGAGAGGAAGGGGAAGAGGGGAGGGAGAGAGGCACCACCACCACCGACTCGCCCTTAGTCACCGTCTCGCCCTCGATATGACGGAGCGGAAACACGCGTCTCGAACTCACCACCACCACCCACTCGCCCTTGATCGCATTTCGCCCGCCATCTTCTTTCTAGATATCCTTTCGAGAATTAACTCTCAAATGCCTCTTGGTCAAGCGCGAACAACCTTCCCCTCGGCCATTGTGAAGCTGGGAGCGGGCATAAAAAATCATTTCTCTGGTTCCCACCCATACTGGTCTTCTGAGATGCCTCTTGGGCCACGCAACGATCTTGCCCTCCGTCGTGGAGGGGCTGAGCGCCGGCGTGAAGATACGATTCTGTAACCCCAATCCATACTGATAATCCTGAATTACCTCTTGGACCACGCGACGATCTTGCCCTCCGTCATCGTGGAGCTGAGCGCGGGCATGAAGATCTCGCGCACCTTCGCCTCCGTCACCAGCCGCGACACCCGCTGTCGCGGCAACGGCGCTGAGGTCACAAGGCGGTGGGACACGGTGCCTGTTGAAAGCAATTGGAAGTGACAGAGGGGTGAGACGCGCTATTAGCTGGAGACAATGGGAAGCGACAAAGAGGGTGTGGGATAAACATGGTCTTCGGAAGGGAACACCGGGACCACGGCATCACGGTCAACAATTGGACGAAGCGCCGTGAGTCTTCACGCCATGTACACGCCATTCCTTCCCATTCCCTTCCATCCGGTAGCACGTATTCCACCGTTATCGCATTTCAAACTCGTCGTCAGGTCCGTGAGAAGCACAATACTAGACGGGGAGCACATGCAAGTGCAGATGAACCCAAAACCTGTGTGGTGATGTGAACCCCAACGCTGGAAGCGATTTCGTCGACCTCTACCATTGAGATGGTTTCGAAATGGTCTAAAGATAGATTTACTCATCTGCAGGACATACGTAATGTACACGTACAGTCGGCTATCTACCACGCCTGATTGTTTCTGATCAGAGTCTCATCCATAATTATTCAATCTATCTGACTGCTGGGTTGACACAAACATTGCTGCTCAAGTTTTCTAGACTAGCGTCTCCCGTTCGCACCTGAAGAGCGAAGGAAGCCATTAGAAGCAATCAGTGACTTCTCCATTGCTCTCAGAGACATGCCACTGGTACACGCCATGGCGACGACTGCGCTAGAGTATCACCAAGTACGGCTGAAGCGCGGCACGAGTGGCCTCTACAACGGGTAGATGGTCACAAGGATGGCAGCGACAGAGGTGGCGTGCTAAACTTAGTTTCTCTTTTTCTGTTTCTCGAGATTGCAGTTAATTCCTCTGACCAGTTTCCCCGCGTTGGAGATTCCTGCCTGGATCCTAGAGAACACCTCAACTCCAACCCGATCCCAGTTTTTCCTGATCAGGCTTCACGCGCGGAAGCAGGGGAAGCGCAAGGAAAAGTGTTTCGGAGAGTGCGCGGAGAGGTTGTGCAGGATTGAGTAGGCGGAGAATCAGGGGGAAATGCTGGGGAAATGCCGGACACGCCTGACAGGATTGCGGGTGGATGGATCAGAAAGCAAAAGAGGCAACCGCCACACACGTCCACGTCAGGAAACAGTCATCGACTATCGGACAACCCTCCACCTCAGACACCACGCGGCAGTTCTTATCGCTGCCATTGGAAGAGTTGCATCTGTCGCCACAAATCAAGACCCCTGCAACCTCTCGTGCACTACTAGTTACTCTGACAATTATCTAAGAACTGCTCCATGTACAATAAACAATACCATTTACATTGTTAGAATGACAATTGAGCCACTTAGCATAACCAAGTACAGGATGTGATTGCATAAACCCTCTGTAATAAGTTATCACAAATTTATATTACATAGGAGTATTCTACATTCTGAAAAAATGCAGTTTATTATAGGGTATATTGCATTGTATGCTTCCGCATGATAATCAGGCAGTAAATAATAAGGCATTTGAGGCTTCCTGAAGCTTCATCTGGACATTGAAAACCCCTAGCTTGCCCTTGAATTTGTTCCTGCCTAGCTAAAACCGCTAGGTAGAAACAGGAAAGTTGTCCAATAAAGGTCAAGGAGTCAGCTTATGGTAAAGCTTGTAGTGTAAGCAGGAGATCATTTTATCCAAACCGATAACCTCTATCCACAAACACCAGGCAGGCAGGCTGACCAAACGAAGGGTGAGGTGACCTGTACCATTTCAGGTTCGGAGACTGTTTTGGGAGTGTTCAGGCTCGGAAACTAGTCTTGCAGAAGCCCGTCTCCACTTGCTCGTGACATCATTGTTTAGACACAATGAAGCAGCCAAAGCCAGCTCCCTCAATGGGGAATCACGAGAGTTACACTCTGTTCAATGGAAGCGGCAGAATCCGAAGTTGTTTTTCCGCTCCACCACTCTCACCAGCCTGATGACAACACTCAAACTGTAAGCTAGCTCTTGTGAACCCGCCCTCACAAACCAGTATTCCAGCTATTGTGGTTGTGTGGTTGGGAAACTCTGACTTCAGGGTGCACCAGAGATGCATTCCGCCGATTCCAATCATTTGGGGGTGATTTGGCTTAATTTTGATGGCAATATTTTTAGTATGCCACTCGCAATGTACAACTCCCGATTTTCGACATCGTGTACTTTTCGTGTGTCACTTCAGCTCATGGTGCCTGTCTACAGTGCACATCTAAGCGGGCCGATGTCAGGTGTCGCGGGCACTTGGTGTACACCCCATTGTCAGGAGTCACGACCCCAAAACTTCTCGAGCCAACCAACCACGTTGCGACGCAATCAAAAGGCGGCCATAAACCAGGGCCCGAACGAGCCGCGCCTGATTCCAGCCACCCGTCGGGCTTCCCGCAAATTACCGAGCTTCGAGTCCAAGTTCGTGGGCGACGTTCCCTCCCAAACCGGACCACATTGGTTCGAGAAGCCCCCAAGGGACTCCCAAGCCATCAAGCAGCCGAACCCGGCGCAGAACCCAACCTTCAACGGCTCCTTTTGGTTTCACCAAGGTCACCGAACCTAACCCAAACCTTCCGCTCGGCAAAACGTCGCCCCTTACCTGATGCCCACCAGCTCTTCCCTTTCCATGCCTCGTTCCCTAATCCACCTGTCGTTCTCCTGATTATCCACCACAGCTGCTCTGATTCTCAATCCACAAAAGCTCCTCCTAGACATCTGTGACTGGCCATAGCTGGCTAACTTCGGACTCATATGCCTCTCCAGTTCCCTACCTAAAGAAGAGTCTCGGAGCACTTATCGGTAGGAAGCATCATTCCGTGAATATAGCCGTGTAGTCAGCTACTAGAGAAAGAAATTATATTTTTCGAGTTCCTTTAGCTGTGCTGCGTCGGTAGCCACGTGCGTTGTTCAGTGAAGCCGAAAGAATAGGGCGTCTAAGTACCGGTTCAGGGCCATCACCAGGGATGGCCATGGATTGGCTAAAAACTTCTCTTCCGTGGGTAGATAAGAACATATCCGACGATCACAAATTTGTACGTCCTTAACTTCTTGCGTGAGGGAATCAGCCTGCTGATCAAGAGTCGTTGGCATACGTTAGTTGGCAGGGAGAGACCCTTTCCAATAAAGCCAATGATGACGAAATTAAAAAGAAAATCCTCCTGTCGTGCATATGATATTTCCTCCATCCGTCTGCCTGGTGTTGTCGTTCTCCGTAGTCCAGACCATGGCTCCTTCATTAGAGAGCCATTGCGTCAATTATTAACTGCCAATGGCTGGATCATCTTCATCACTGGAAGCCACAGCCGGTCCTTCATACGATGCTGCGTTGATGATGTCTCGTTGCATTGTCCGTCACAATTTCTCCCTTTCACATTCTCCCTTTCTGAACGCCTAAGGCCCTTGACCTGATTCTGTTTTTTTACTATTACCATGCGTCCATGATCGCAGGCTGGCCAGGCGATCCGATCTCCAGGCTCTTCCTCTCGAGAAGCGGGGTTTACATCGATATTGACACAAGGAGGAGACGGCTTCGACCTAACCCTCCCGGTCGCTAGGTTGACGGGGAGGCTCGGTCCCCCTTCTCCACGGGCCGCCTCACCCCCAATAGTGCCACGCTCGTTATCATCACCCTCGCTATTAGCCTCGACCAATTCGTTAAAGACTTCGCCGTCTCCCGCGGCCACTGCATCGACGTTAACCGCTGGAGTAGCGAACGTCGCCCCAGCAGTTCAACAAGTAGCAGCAGGCTCGGCAACAGGCTCGGCAGCTGCGAGGCCGAAAACTGCTGGTTCGGGAAGGGCGATGGCGTCGCCGCCAGGGACACCCCCGAGCACGTGGAGGGTTCGATCGCGTGAACGAATGGCGGTTAGAAAAGCGAAAGGGTTGATCGGAGCCGCTCATGAGAGCCCCGAGTGGCTGATGGATCTGGGCCGTCGGATGAACATCCCATTTGAGTAAGCTGGAATAGCTAGACGTGCATTGGTTTAGGAATTGCATGTCGGCACCGCAGTATTTTAGTTTAGAAAGCCCACGGTTGCCGTTTTGACGCCCTCAAGGCTGCTTGTTGCTGACAAACGTTTTCAGACCGATAAGTCTGGTAACGGCTGGTGTATGATTAGCACTGAAGGCTGCATTTCCTTCCCCGCGTGTGGTTAAACTCAACACCCTCCTTCCGCTCCCTGATCTTAAACTGTTCTCCGTCCTCGTGCCCCGACCTCCACACATCCCCCCCCCCCTCCCCCCCTTCCCTCCCCCCTCTCCCTCTCTCCTCCCTGTTTCTCGTCCCCACTCAACACTCGTTATTTCCCTCATCTGCCTCCCTTCTCTCGCAGTTTACTCGCAGTGTTTTCAGACAAGTGCCAACGGCCCACTCCGCGGCACCCCTCCGCGTCCTCCGCGGACCCTCTCTCCGCGCCGACGCCCGAGTGCGTGCAAGCGGCGCATCTAATCAATCACACGGTGGAGACCCGCCTCTCGTCCTCCTCCTCGACTGTAGCGGCGGAAGCGGCGGCAATGGCGGAGCGTGGCGCTTCTGCAGCCGCGGCTGCATCCGGTGGCCCGGGTGGCACTAGAGGTCCTGCTTCTGCTGCTCCTGCTGCTGCTGCTGCTGCTTTTGCTGGTGCTGATCCGCCAGTTGCGGCGTCAAGAGGCGTAGGTGTGACTGTGCTAGGAAGTGCTACAACAGGTGCCGCCGCAGGTGGAGGAGCTAACGGGGGAGGAGTTGCAGCGTCATCTAGCTCTGTGAAGGAGCAGCAGCCCATTGCTGCCACTGCGGCCAGAACCTATAGCCCCGATAGCCGCACTCCCGCTATTAGAGCAGCCCCGGCCCCAAGGCCCGCGGCTAGGGCGCCAGCTCCAGCACCCGCACCCGCTGCGACTGAGAGATGGGGATGGGGGAAGAGCAACAGCAGCAGCAGCAGGGGGTTGTGGGGCAAGATAAATAAGGGCGCGGGCAAGAAAGACGCGAAGAAGAAGGTGCAGAAATTGCCAGAGGCAAGCAAGGCGGAGCGGAACTCGATCATGGACGGAACCCTTGTCCCGGCCAGTCGCGCGGTCAACCCGCCCATGTCCCGCAACCCCATGTTCGAGCCCGTGGGCGCGTCTAAGCGGCGCGCGGCGAGGCAGCCGGGGCTGCGCGTGCCGATGTGCATCAAGACGGTGAAGGTGCAGTTCGGGGATACGCTGGCGGAGATTGCCCAGAACCACCGCACGTCGATTCGGGACCTGCAGAGGTTGAACAACCTTCGGTCGGACTTCATTGTTGAGGGCGACACGCTCATCGTCTCGTGCTGTGAGTGCTACCTGGGTGATTTGAGATGGGGTAAGATGGACGAGGAGTGAAGGGGGATGACGAGGGAAGGAAGGAGGGGAGAGGGGGGTTAGTGCTTTGTGATGGCGTGTATTCCACAGTCTCGGGCAGGACATGCCTAAGACTTTCTTCAATCATGTTACATGGCACGTTTCATTTTACCAGCGTATCCCATCACCATATGCCCAAACCGTGTTTTTCTAGTGTGTTAGGGTTCGATCTCGCTCTCCTCCCTTTCACCCTCTCACAACGCATTCCTTCATTCCTCCCCTCGCGCCCCCAATTTATGCTCTATTCATCTCAGCCAACCAACGTCGTTCCGTACCAGAGCTCAGGCCTGGCATTCGCCGGACCTGCCGCCCGCTCTTTTCCCGGCTCTCTCCATCATCGACTTTGCCAAAGCTGCCTGCAAGGCTCGGCGTGGGAGGTCCGGCAGCAGGCGCCATTGTGAAAGCGGGCTCAGCAGCAGGAGGACGAGTTTCTCTGCTAGAAGGTGTGCCTCGTAAACCACAAGTTGGTGATTATATAATGTATTCTCCTAGCCATGCCTGTCTTATGAGCTGTTTGTCGATCTGCGTTGACTGTTTGCTGCCTCACTTGTGTGAATAGTCCATGCCAGCAGTGCGTTTCTGTGTTGCTCCACCTGGCCCACGTTTCCACTTTCACCTGCAGTGACATTTTAGTCGTCTTAACTACTTGCAGGCATGTCATGCCATCATCATTGCTCTTCCGTCTGTGTTTCTTTTTCTGTTCTGTGCCGCCTTCCACATCTCCCTTACCACGTCCTCTTCCCCCATATCCTCCGCCCCATCTCCTCTCCCGCCTCTCCCCACACCCGCAGGGCGGTGGAGGCGGGGCCCCAAGGGCTTCCCCAAGTCGATGGACGGCTGGCGCTGTGCTCTCTCTCTTCCCCCCTCGCTCCCTCCCTCTCGTCTTACTATGTGTTGTCTCCCCACCGCCCCGCGTCCCCTCTCTCTCACCCGCAGGGCGGTGGAGGCGGGGCCCCAAGGGCTTCCCCAAGTCGATGGACGGCTGGCTGCGATTCAACTGCCCTGTCGTGGACGGGTGCGTTATGGGGGCGGGGAAGGGGGATAGGGTGGGTGTAGAATGCAGGGGGGAGGGAGAACGGATGGGGGAAAAGGGGCGAGAGGGTTGGGAAGGGGGAGGTGGGGGAAAGGTGACTCAGAACATACCTGGTGGACGGATTGTGGCGGGAGGGGGGCAGGGAGGGGAAAGGTGGGGAGGGGGAAGGAAGTGGGGTGGTGAGGGTGGTGGAGTGGGGCAGGGACTGTGGGAATGATTCAAGACTTGGCAGACTTGGCTGGGCTCTGCGTAGTGGAATATCTTGTGTTTGTACCGCTGTTTTTCTCACCATGATGGCCCTGCTGATTCACGTGCTGGCTTTCTCATTCTCAACTCTCCCTATCCCACCCCACTCCACCCCCACCCCCCCCTCCCCCTCCTCCCCGCCCCCCTCCCCTCCTTTCTCCCCCACCCGGCCCTCTTCCGCGTCGCCTCTTCAACCCCTACAACTTTCAACCCTCTCCGTCCACCAGCTTCGTCAGCAGTCCCTTTGGCTGGCGATGGGGATCCTTCCACGAGGTACGCCCTCTCTTCTCCCTTCCATTACCCCTTCATTTCACCTCCTCCATACGTTTGCGCCACTCCTTCTCTCCCACCCCCTCGTCTGCTGGTCCTCTCTACTTTCCGCCTGATGAAAGAGAGAGCACTCGCGCATCTCGCTTTGCTGCTCTGCATCCCCTCTCTTTCATCCGCTTCGTCCTTAAACTCCCATTTTCAACCCTCCTGAAAGAAGAGTGTTTTTGAGACGTCTGAAAATCAATCTCGCATTGCCACTCTGCATCCCCTCTCTTTTCACCCGCTTCGTCCTTAACTCCCATTGTCGACCCTCGTTATCATCATCTTCAATCCGCGTTGCCAACCTCATCTTACATTGAGATTGCACTGAAATCACTTCTGTTCTTTTGCTCTCTCTCTCATCCCTCCATCCATCCATCCCTCCCTCCCTCCCTCCATCCATCCATCCCTCCCTCCCTCCCTCCCTCCCTCCCTCCCTCCCTCCCTCCCTCCCTCCCTCCCTCCCTCCCTCCCTCCCTCCCTCCCTCCCTCCCTCCCTCCCTCCCTCCCTCCCTCCCTCCCTCCTCTCCCCATCACCCAACCTCCAGGGTGTGAATCTAGCTGCGGTGTCTGGTGTGCCAGTACTTGCGTCTTTTTTTTTTTGTCAACACAAGTATTCCCTCTTTTTCCGTCTCTCTCCCTCCTGTTCTCCTTCCCCCCTCCCCCAACCTCCAGGGCGTGGATCTAGCAGCGGAGTTTGGGGCGCCAGTGCTGGCGTCAGACAAGGGCGTTGTGACGTTTGCAGGCTGGAGTGGAGGGTGAGAGTGTTTGTGCGTGTGAGCTTGTGTGTATGCACGTGCGCATATGTGTGTGTGGGGGGGGGGATGGAGGGGAAGGGGGGGTAGGTGGGTGGGATGGTGAAGGCCTTCACAACCCTCCCGCCCACCTCAGCTAAGCTCTCCTATCTCTCCAGGTACAGCAAGCCGGTGACGGTAGCACATGACAAAACCTTCATAAGCCTCCCCACCCCTTCCCCTCCCATTCCCATGTTTCATCTGCTCCAATCTCTCCAGGTATGGCAAGCTGGTGACGATAGCACATGACAATGGCTTCACCACTCGATATGGTCACTGCTGCATCATCAACGCACGTGTTGGGCAGGTGCGTGCTGGCTCTTGAGAGGTGGGGAGGGGGGGTGTTGTGCAGGAATGCGCGGTGATTGACGTGGCGTTTTCTGGCATGCAGCAGTGTGTGTTGAGGTGGGGCTGCTTCAAGTGGGGCTGACTTATGTAAGGTTGCCTCAAGGGAATTTCTGAGTGGCCTGCTTCCTAGCTTGCTTGCTACAGATTTGCCCCTTCACATCCACCCTCTCACCCATGAGTCTTCCTCCATCTGTGTGTCCATCTGTGTCTGCGTGTGTGTGTGTGTGCAATTGCATGTGTGTGTACGCATGGCCACTGCAGCGAGTGGCAAGGGGGCAGCAGGTGGCGTGTGTGGGGGCAACCGGGCGAGCCACAGGCCCGCACTTGCACTTTGAAGGTAAGCGCACCATCGGCCTGTTGTTCCCCCACTGCACTCACCCTCTCACACTTCCACCCTCCCGTCCTCACTTGTGTGTGGGAGCAATAGGGCGAGCCACAGGCCCGCACCTGCACTTTAAAGGTAAGCGCACCATTGGCCTGTAACCCCACCCACCAACCTTCCTGTTGACTTGCTCCCTCCATCCCACTCTCTCTCCTCACTTGTGTGTGCGTGGGCAACCGGATGAGCCACAGGGCCCCACCTGCCACCATTTGCCTTCCTCTCCTCCTCCCTTTCCCTTCTCTTCCCTGTCCTGTTGTCTCTCCATTCATCCCCCCCGCTCCCACACCCACATGTTGTCGCCCCCACTCCCACATGTATACATTCGCAAACCTCCCCCTTCCAACCCCCCCCACCTTATTCGCTTTCTTGTGTCTTTGACTCCCTCCTTTCCCCCCCCTGTGGCACCTCACACTAATCCCCCCTTAGTGGCACCTCACACTAATCCCCCCTTAGTGGCACCTCACACTAATCCCCCCTTAGTGGCACCTCACACTAATCCCCCCTTAGTGGCACCTCACACTAATCCCCCCTTAGTGGCACCTCACACTTCGCCCCCCATGCCCCCCTCCGTCTTATGGCACCCCCCACTTATTAGCCTTCTGTCTACTCACACATATCAATCCCTTCCCCCTTGTTCCATCTCATACCTATCCTTTTCTTTCCCCCACCCCATGGCATCTCACACAAGTCCCCCACTATTCCCCTCTGTCATCTTCCTCGCTCTCTGCAGTCCGCAAGAGAGGGGAAGCATTGGATCCGTTCAAGTGGTGCAATCTATGACAGGATAGGTCTGGCTGAGAGGGGCTCTACGAGTGAATTCCAGGGCAGTTGTCAGAACGGGAACGCCCTGCTGAGTGCTGCTGCTGCTGCTCATACTGCTGCTCCTGCCCATCCAGTCTTTTCCAAAAGTAGTCTCACTAAAAGCTCCCGTTTCCATCACAGGACAGTGTCAAGTGAGCAGGCTGAAACGAGGCTGAACAAAGTTTGAACCCATGCGTCTGACTGGTGCTGCAAAAAGAGCACCGGTTGTCAAAGAGAAGAATTCTGGGGCTTGAGAGTCCCATAATGCCACCGCATGGAACAGTCTGAAGGACTCCAATTTACCATCTGCAAGACGTAGCTTGGTCACTTCACTTGCTTAGGTTTGGTAGGTCTAGTGATGCAGGCGACAGGAGGAGGAGGCAGACGCGGATTTTGGGGCTCGGTGGAAATCGTGGTGTGGAAAGTTGGGGTGGCTGGAGTCGTGTTTTTCCGTACGAGTTATCCATTTCCTCTCCTGCAAGGGAGCTGGTTCTGGATCACAGAGCACTACGTTCTATTCTATGCAAGCTGCATTAGCATGAGAGACACTTGGTTGTAGTATTCTAATACATGTGTAGCTTTGCGTATGAAGCTACTTATGTTGCTCTCATCATGGCACCGTGATGTGATCTCTTCAATAGTTCCTGAACAGCAGCCATTTCTTTCATGCTAAATGGTTGAATGCAATGAGATTCGTGGCACAAAGGACGAGAACATATGCATGCTCAAATTGTACAGGATCCTCCTGGGGAAAGAACAAAATCTGACAGTCTTCATCTTAGGAAAATCCAAGGATGCCAAAACGTACCGTATGTACAAAGAATGCTTGCATGCCTGCCATCTCTGCTCCCTCCATTCCTCCCCTTCCTTCTCCTCCCCTCGCTTTCCTCTGTTACCACCTGCAACCTTGGGCGGGCCACAGACCGTATGTGGCAACAGGACGACAACACCCAGGCCAGCAGCAGCAGCAGCGAGTGAGCCAAACCGGCAGCTGGCCAACCGATCAAACCCCACTACAGGCTGAGATCAGTTGAACCAAGCTCAGAGCTGGTCGGAAATGGCCCCTCCTTCTCCCCACTCTCCCCACTCAACTCTTCCTCCGCCTGCCAAACCAAAAACCTCCCAATTGCATCACGCAACATCACCACTCCCACCAGCTCTCCTCCTTCCCCTTCCTCCCGTGTGACGTAGATGCGATGCATGCGTGCCACCCGTAAAGCGCGGATAACATCGCGCAGTGACATCCCAACTATCACCATCACCATCCCCTCCCACTACAGGCTGAGACCATCGGAACCAACCTCAGTGCTGGCTGGAACCGGCTCCTCTACCTTCTCTCCCCGTGTCTCTCCCTCCTCCTGCCTCACCAGAAACCGTCCAATTGCATCCCGCAGCGTCACCACTCCCACCAGCTCTCCTCCTTCCACCCCCTCTTCCGGCTCCCGGGTGACGTAGATGCGGTGCACGCGTGCCACCCGGAACGCGTGGATCACCTCGCGCAGTGGCGTGGACAAGCGGCACGTCACGGGCGGCACCATGATTGGCCAGATGACGTCAGCAGCACCGTGATGCGGCCTCTGCGCATCGTGCACCAGTTCTGCCACCGTAAGCGGCCTGGGGGTTGGTGGGGATGGGACCAGAGGAGGGGAGGGAGGAAGGGACACATTCTGAACACGCCGAGATTTTTTAGAGTTCTCAAAAGAATCCTTGGAACATCAAGGACGAGGAAAGGGACACATGCTGAACATGCCGTACACTAAAGTTGCTGCGCGTCGTACATTAAGTCTGTCACTGTGAGGGGTCTGAGGGTTGGTGGGGGTGGATGGGGATGGGAGAGGAAGGGGGAATTGTGGGGGAAGGAGGAGCAGGGGATGCAGAGAAAAGGGAGAAAGTAGAAAAAAGAAACAATAGTTATTTTCTGTGGAGTTATATGAGGCTGTGCAAGGTGCTCCAGATCTGCCACTGTGAGTGGCCTGGAGATTGGTCAGGTTCGAGGAGAGTGAGGGGAACAAAGGGTTGAGGGGTCAATGCCGAGAATATGACCACCGAGAAAAGGATTGGAAAGGGGAAGAACAAGATTGCTGTTATGCTGACCATTTAAAAAACGATTGGGATGGGTGCATGTCATGCCTGCACCATTATTAAGCCGCATGGCATGCACCAGACTCACTACTGCGGCGATGGTGGGAGCGCGCAGGAGGAGGGGGGGAGGGTGGAGGGGGGGGAGTGTGGGTGAACGCAGAACAAGGGGAGAAACGAGCAGAAATTGCAAAATGGAAGCAGTGCAGTGGTACGGGGACACAATGGAGGCATTTTACTTGATATGGTGTTGCTCTGCAAGATGCGGAGACGTAAGCAGCTGCAGAACGTCCCTCGCGCTGACATTTGCCGTGATGCGATTGGTCCCCGGCGCTACCACGGGCACTCCACCAATGTCATGCTGCAGCATCAGACGGAACGGCTCCATTACCGGGTCCGACTCCTCCACCTGCCACCATAACGCGTACAGAAGGAAAAGAACCTTTCAGGCATGAATGAAGGCCCTCCTGCCTGGCAGGAGGCCCGGAAGGACCGTGCAAAGGATTGTAACATGCGATTGGTCCTCGGCGCCACCAAAGACCTTCCACCAATGCCATGCTGCAGCATGAGACGAAACGGTTTCATTACCGGGTCTGACTCCTCCACCTGTGATCATAACGCGTACAAAAGAGAAGAAACGCAGAGAAGCACTAAGGGCATGTTCGGACAATCACCACTCCAAAACGTCTAGAAACCCACTTGAACCAATCGTTCTAAAAATATACCACTTTGAACCGTTCTGACGGTCCGGTCCAGTCCGGAAAAAATCGAAAATGTAACACGCCCTAACCGCACCTGTGTGTGAAAGAATTTTTAAAACCCTGACACTTAATGTTTACAACTTAATAGCACCCTGCCATTAGCTCGGTGCAGACCCGGGTTCGATTCCCGGCTGGCACATGACCTTTTGATCCCATGGGATGCCCAAGAAAACCCATCGGCAATGCTATCCTTGCTGTCACCTGCCTCACACTAGGAAGATGAGCTTTGAAGACCGATCTCATTCCTCCCAAATAATATCTTCAATCATACCTTCCTCCCACCCACTGAACTCCCTTTGCAACCTGGTCTCACCATTACCACACCTGGTCTCACCGTCACCACACTTTCCCAAACTGGTCTAACAATCACCACTCCTTCCCAGAGATGGTCTCATCATCCCTTCCAAGAAATGGTCTCATCATCACCACCCCTTCCAAGAGATGGTCTCATCATCACCACCCTTTTCCAGAGATGGTCTCATTATCACCACACTTCACCGCATTACACCTTGCATAGCATGCACCAACTCACAAATGACACCCCCATTTCCCGGATGCACCAACTCACACATGACACCCCCAATTCCCGGATGCACCAACTCACCCATAACACCCTCATCTCCCAGATCTTTCTTCTCTGCTTGGCTCAGCCCAATCAGCATTCCATACAGAGAAATCCCATACTCTATTATATCAGCCCCCATTCTCTGCCACCTGCACACCCAGGGTTTAGCACCCACCCTTAAAGCCATGCTCTCACCTAAGTGACCACTTACTCCACTCTCATCCCTTGCCGTCCATTCCTTGGCACCATAAACGCCTCTTCCCCCCCCAATGTAGGCTAAGGCTGTCTGTCACCTATGATCCAAAGTCCCTAGGCCCTTTACTTGCTCCTACCCATCACCCATGTTAGCCTTTGCATGTCACATACCAGACTTTGCATCTCACATGTCCCTCACCTGAACAACTAATTCCGCCGTCTTGCTCAGCAGCCCCATGCATCTCCATCCCTAAAAGTTCACCACAGTATGATTGGGATGGCTTGCACTTTTGACGTCACTCAAAAATGACTCAAGAAGCAAGTGCTGTTGGTGCCGTCGTGTGTGAGTGACTCAAACATCGTGGAAATGACTCTTCAAACTCAGCCAAGCTACCCATCCTTCCGCTATCAGCGTGCTGCCATTCAGCTGTTGTCGTGATTACCAACAAGCAGTAATCACAGCATCTCAGTCCTTGTGTCGAAAATGGTTATGCTGCAAAAATCTTGAAAACATCTGATCAGTGCCAGTGGTCTAGTGGTAGAATAGCACCCACAAAAGGGGTTTCCGCACTCCAACGCAGCTACGGTGATTGGTTCAGCAGCAGCCACTCGTGAAAGTGAGAAGACAACCCACTATGCTGCAGCACTTCATGACCGTCCGGACGTCAAACTGTTTCCCCTTGCCATCGAAACCTTCGGTTGCTTCGGCTCATCGTTCAACAACTTCCTTCGCCAATGCAGCCGAAAAGGGGCTTCACAACTCCGCGACTTGAGTGGTGCTACAGATTCTCTTCCCCTGCTGTTTGAGACCAACTTCTACAAACGGATTTCTCTGGTCCATCAACGTGAGCAGGCTCGCACTGTTTGTCGTCGTGCACAAATTCGTTTTACCGAGGGCGTCAACCACGCACCACCCGAGGTGACTTCTCTTTCTGCAGCTGACTTTGCCTACTTTGGAGAGGACCACTGAAACATCTCAGAGGCCTATTTGTAGCCCTTACAATAGGATTAGCCTGCTTTCCATACACTAGGTCTCTGGATTTGCCTTGTATCCATTGTACATTTAGTATAGAGTTAGTAAAGAGATAGAATAGCACCCTGCCATAAGCACGGTGCAGACCCGGGACCGATTCCCGGCTGGCACAGGACCTCTGTTGTATCTTTTGAACGACACAACCATGACATGAGCAGCTAAGGGCGTGTGTGATTTAGCCGAACCTGACTGAAAGTTCGAACTTTTATAACGGTTCGTCACGTTAGGATACAATTAGAAGAGTTTTGCCACGGTGCAATGCGGTTTGAGTTCGAACTTTGTCAGGTTCGGCAAAAACACACACGCCTTAATCTCAGTGCTTTTCCGTGCCATAACATGTACCTTC